CTCTTGAACCGAATTAAGAAAACTTAGCTAGACATTGTTGAAGTATAAACTCTAAAATACATAAAAGAAAGCAACTTCCTAATGTGTAGCCCTAAAGGCTATTTATACATATAAAGAGATAGATATGATAACTCACAAGTCATATTTAGAATTGTGTCCGAATTAAGTAGGACTTGTGGTCGAATAGGATTCCAAGTTCAATGTTGTAATTTCTAACTTGATTTTGAATCGGATGACGATTGAATTAGACTTGGGCTCTAATGAAAATAGTAAGCTCGTATGTTTTGTTTCGTAGGATTTTAAATAAACTTAATCCAACGTGTATAAATTTAGATATGGTTCAAATATTAGGAAGTGTTCTAAACAATTGCGGGATCTAAATTCTTGACTTGACTTTGCAACCGACTTTGATGGCCTAAAACATAATAGATATATACTTTTAAACCTAATCTAGAAAGCTTAATATGTCCACTTTAATTCCCAAGAGGTCTCTTTTGCTTTCTAGAGCTCTAAGGATGTGAAATTTCCATTTCTTTCTCTAAAGATCAACCTACCAAGCATTGGAATTTCGCTCACATTGATACACGTTTGCTCGTTTGACTCTAATCATCTTCTAAATCACAAAATAAACTTAATTCATCACATTCAACCTAAAATCGGATCCAAAAGACTAAATATAAGAGAATAAATATAATCAATAAAATTAATTATCATTCATTCCTAGTGAAAATCTTTTTTTGTCTTTATTTATTTATTTATTAATTAATATTGTTAGGTTTAAATTCATATATATATATATATATATATATATATATATATAAACTATTCACATATGAATCTTAACGTGATAATTGAATGACTATCTTAATATATGTCCATTTAATTCCTTTGTTAAAAGAAGTTTAAACGATAAAAGGACTAATAAAACCTCTTATCTAATGACAATGAGCTTTTTGCAAATATGAGTTGTTCAAGCTCTTCTTAACTCCACTTCACTGAATTTTGTTTTCTTCTAACTTTTTAGAGTTACTACAAAATATCAAGACAATTTATTAGCATGAAAGCGTTGAACATATATATGTATATATGTATATGGGGAATCTTATTCATTTTACTAAAAAGTCAACAACAGAGCAATAAACAAAGAGATGAAAAAAAAAAAGACAATTAGATTTAGGTAAGCATAATGATACAAAAACCTAGACAAATGTCAAAACGGAAGAAACTCTAAACTAACTAAGAGAAGGACACTCGTCGTGCAATTTCTTAAAGAAATTGTCATCCACGAACCATCGCTTATTCGCACAAATGCCATCCTTCATGTTAGTTGTCCCTTCAACTATAGACCATTAACATACTTAAGATCCATAAACCTTACATGTAAACCACTAATTTTTGCTTTAAAAGCAATACAATGAATCGATGAGAGATATCTAAAACCACCTCAAATGAATAGAATCTAATGATGCATAAGATTTTGAAAATCTAAATTGATTGTACTTGGTGTTTAACTTTTTTAGGGATTGGCAAAATAGTGGTGATATCCTTAAAACTCATAGGTATATAGAGCATATGAACCGATGTTAGTGGTTCCGAAGAATATTTTAATGAAGTCACTTTGATAGTTAAAGTAGTATTATGGTATGCTATGTAGATATGAGAGAGAGAATTGACTATGTTTTGTTATATAAGTGTTGTTGGGGTTATGTTTTATGAGGAAATGAGCTCATTTATATAATAAAAATATAAAGCATATGGAATATCTTTAGTGTGTTGGGCTAAATGGCTACAATACCACAATAAAAGAATCTATAAATACGAGGAACCCGAATTTTATGTACCATGAGTTGCCATCATGTTTTAAAACGAGGTTCATTCGATTTGAGACATAATAGTTTTCTTGTGTGATATAATCTATATGGACTAAAGCTTTGGAGACGTGACTCAAGGTTCATAGAGGAACGTGGTCACAAGTTCCTAGAGAAATACGAGTATTAAGGAATAGACTCCTAAAGGAACTTATTTCTAAAAGAACGGACTCCTAAAGGAATATATTCTTAAACAAACATACTTCTTAAGAAATGAACTTCTAAACGAATGTATTCACATAAGAATGGACTCTTGGATGAGAGAGTTTATAAAGAAACATATTCATGAAGGAATAGATTCCTAAAGGATCGATGGATCACTAAGGAGATACGAAATCTTGGAGAAAATATGGATTCTCAAAAGAGAGATGGATTGTTTTTGAAGTGGAGTCCTTGAAAATGAGTAGAATATATAAAAAGGGATGGACTCTTAAAATAATGGATGGATCCCTAAGAGAGGATAGACTCTCAAATAACCAATAAGCTTTTGAAGGAGCTATGGATCTCTAAGGAGAGATGGATCGTTAAAGAAAGGATGGATCCTTGATAGAGAACGAGCCTTAAAGGAGGGATAAACTCTCGAAGGAGCGATGGAACCCTAAAAGAGAGATAAACTCTTTAAGAAAAAACTTCTTATGGAGCAATTAGGATCCTCGAAGATGAATGATGGATCCCTATAAAAGACTCAAAATTCTTATTCAATTTGGATAAATTGACTCTCTTTTAAGTCATTTAGTGTCGGAGGTTTTAAATATAACATGTGGTCATAAAATTATCTTGCATGGTACATGAGAGGTTGACGTTGACAACCGATCAAAATGTGTCAAGTTAAAAATGGGATTAGAGTATATTAGATAAATCAAGGATTGATTTATATGGTATTATAAAGTTTAAGGACCGGAGTAAGAAAAGGATAAAAAAAACTATTAGAAGTGTGCTCATCATATGCCACAATATAAAACAATGTTCCTAACAGCTTTTTGACACACGAAGAGTCTTCTAATGGTAGGTTGAGGTGCTTTGGAGTTGTGTTATTTTTGTCTTGATGGTGTGATTGCTCTTGTTCGACAGGTGTTCAATTTATCTATTTACACATAACCATTCAATTATATGATAGATATCTAAAAAAATCATTACCTAACTTCATCAAGTAATATCATAATTAGTCAACCAACAACCCTAACTAAATTCAACACTAATGAACCCTAGCTAAATGCATTAAGCAATATCACCATCGAACCCTATACCAAATACCTCATCTCCAACATCATTCAATTATCCAAGTCAAGTAACCACAAACAAATATCAAGCCAAATGACAATAAGCAAAACCAAATTATATCAAACATACATCAAAGCTAAAGCCACCAATTTTTCTCAAACCATTTATTCGTCAAGCTAAAGCCGAATTACTATAAACATTCCTCAAACATTCATTCAATGAGCCAAGTAATAACAAGCAACCATCTAAGCCAAAACCATCACATGAACACAAAATCAAGTAACATAAAGTTAAACAACCGAACTGAATTTTTCAAGTAATATCACAAGTATCTAATCTTCATTTAAGCAATTGACAAGCCTAGTCATTCTACATCAATGCAACCATCCAATTATTCAATTAATTAAACCAAGCAATCATAAGTAAACCAAATCCATAAACAAGGCTAATCCATCAAGCAATACACAAACACTCCATTCACATTTAAGTCAAATCCATCAAGCATTCTCACAATCAATCCATCATCAAATATTTCCTAAAAGTAGAATCATATACTCATATGATAAATTGTCAAGCAAAAATCAAGAAACAACAACAATATCAAATATGAACCCATCACCAAAATATACCTCACCATTATTAAATCATCACAATATAATAATAAGTGAATCCATAAACTCCTAATTCAAAATCATTCATAATGACAAGTACCACAAGCATTCATCAAGCTAAATTCATCATCTTAATTATTCGATTAATAACCAATCATTTGGCTAAAATTAATAACATGGTCAATTATCAATTAAATACTTATCCATTACTATCATAATATAAAGTTATCAATTAACCATTGACCCAAACCCTAGAACTACTAGGATTTATAATTCCTTAATTAAATGCAAGGATACAACGATACACATATTTAATCAATAATTAAACACTTGTCACAACATCGTAATAGTTAATCATTCATCAATTTCATAACCTAAGCATCAATCAAACATAATTCATCTAATGACATACATAGAAACCCTATGTTTTACATGAACATATTTCACCCCAAATCATTAAATTAGCACATACAAACCCTAAGTCTAGTGGTGAGCTGAAGTTATACTTACCTTACATTTGATTGAAGTTGGAATCACCTTAAAATATTATAGATTTCCTCTCTTTCTCTTTGCTCTTGGTCTTGACAAATTTGGACAAATTTACCCTTTTTACGACCAAGCTTCTCTCGGCTAAACTCTCATCTCTCTTGCCAAGTTATCTTCTCTTGGTAATTTTAGCCTCTTCTTTTACTTTTTCTCTTGTTAATCTGGGCTTCTCTCAAGTGTTCCAGTCTCTCCTCGCTCTCTTTCTCTCTTAGTGTTCAAGTCTCTCTCAAAAGAGATGGAGGTAAATAAAAACTTAAATGAAACCCTAAACAAGTTTTCTCTATTTTATTTCCCTCTTTTTGCCAAAACATTTGGACAGAAATAACCTTCATGAGGCATATGCTCTAAGGTAGATTTTTATCCTTAGATATTTTAATTTAGGTGAAACACCTAATTATGATATTATTTGGTTACAAATTAATGTTACTAAGTGTTGTGTAAATAGTAAAGTAATTGATAAGTGAAGAACTTAGAAAATATAGTTGAATTAAATATTATGATACATGTATAACTTAAGATTTAAAATTCAATTAGTGTTTTAAACAATATTATTAGGAATATACACACAAAGCATAGAAAATAAATTTTGGTATTACAAACAAACAACAAAACAGATTACAAATTATCCAAAATACAATAAAATCCAAAATGTTAGTCCCATCAACATTTTGGAAGTTGGTCCTATAACCATCGAACCAACTTTTAAAACATCGATCCCGTCACCGTCGAATCAACTTCTAAAACGTTAGTCCTTTCACCTTCGAACTAGATGCTTTCCGTCGTCATGTCTATTATGTGTTCCTTAAATTACAATAAATATATAACATTATTAATCCATTTATTAACAATTCAAATTCATCATAATGTTTAAAATGTTTGATTACCATTTTGCTTCTTATTTCTTTATATTTATGCTTGTGTTAAAGTACTACCACTTTATCCAGTTTGTGTTCCTTACAAACCACACGAGAATAAAAATAAATCGATAATTCATGTTGTATCAAAAAAACTTGAAAGAAATAAATATAAGTATCTTACCATTCTAGTTGTATAACCTCTTTCTCTACTTGGATTGGTTCTTCTATTGTGGCCAAGCTATTTACAAAGTTTACACCACACTATACATGATTTAATTCATTTACCCTTCCCTAATATTGACTATTTCTTCTTCTTTCTCTCTGTTTTTTTTTTTTTTTGGTCTACCAAAATCTTCTAAAGGCACTAGATGAACTGCATATTTGTACATCCTAAAAAATACAACAATTGTAAATGACTCATCACAATAATCCTCTAAATTTTCCCTTTTTATAACCAATAACCGAGCGACATGCTTACATGACGATCCATTTTTTCCACTATTTACAACTACAATTCTTATTCCTCATATTCACTGCATATTTGTACTTTTATTCCTCCAATTCATACTCATCATTTTTTCTCACAAACATTTTCAAAAACCTTAGAGATAATAAAATTGTTGATTGTTGTTGTTTCGCTTCTAGGCAAACCCTTTAGACCCATACAATTTTCTAACCATATCCGACTTATATTCTAACCATTAATTACCGCATAATCTTATCCAATACATGAAAAATTGGAAGGTGTCCGATCTTTCTAAACTAGTTATTAAAAGACTCGACATATTATTTGTCGAGTGATCATTTTTTTGCTTCCGGCCAAAAAGCATGTCTTGACCAATGAGATGGAACTCGTCTCATCATCTAGTTTGTTGTCCCTTCTAAATCTTCTTCAAATTTCTGTGATAGTTTTTTTGAATAGGAAAGGATAAGTTGCTTTAAAAACAACCTAAAAGTTAAGTATTCAATGAGGATGAAGTCCCAAACTTATTCCAAAATTATTTGAACAAATATCTATAGTATATATCTATTAAGTACATCGGAAAAATACTTCATCAACTACATTGATTAGTCCCTATTTGTGCATAAAAGACATAAGACAGATCAATACACGTCTAATAAATTTTAATAAAGAAAAAAACAAACAAAAATATTGAAATATTCTTTTTAAATACCTTTTATTTATTTATCATAAAAGTCCAAGGCTTTGCACCACTCCTCAAATTAATACATACCTTTAATTGTTTTAAAAAGAATAACCAAGATTCATTATACTCATTCTCAATAATAGCAAATGCAATAGTAAAAAAGCCTTTGTTTTCATCAAGTCTCATTTGACATAAAAGTACTTGACTATATATTCCTTTTAAATAACAACCATCAATTCCAATAAATAACCTTCATACTTTTATCTCATGCAAGCAAATGAATATCCTTTTAAATGATATGCTCTCACCTAAGGGTATATATTGTTGCATGTATTCAATCTTAACAATTGTCTCTAGGTTTGTGTGTTGTAGTAGTTTAATGTACCTTTCTAAGTAATGAAAAGATTCTTTGTGTGCCTTCATTGGCCAAATTTACTTATAACTTGGCCTTATGTAATTGTCATTCTTTTGGATCAGTCGTCCATTTAACAAGCAAGCTTTTCATAGCATCAAAACTCATATCTAGATCCTTTCTCAAATATTATACTAATTCATTTTTAATCTAATTTGAGTTAATATTACTATTACACTACCCATTTAGCCTTACACAAATGCATTTATCATTTAAGTTTTTTTACCATAAAGGATTTATTATTAAGCCTTCATGATGCATGAAATTTCCATTCACATCCTTCTCTTTTACAATAAGCAACCAATCTAACCTCATCATTTTTTTTCTTCTAAGAGTTGGATAGCCACCATAAATTATAAAAGTCCTTGGTGCATGTCTACATTCATCTTTATCCTTAAAGATATGATCAAACACAAAGTGAAACTCCTCATCGGGACCTAGTTCTTTAAACCTTTGTGCATTGTAATTTTTCAATGGATTTGAAAGGGTTTTCACTAAATTTTTTATCCTTAAAGCTTACATTATCGATAGAATTAGAATTATTTGATTCATAATTATTAAACCCCGTATCAACATCATTTGATATGTCAACATCACTCTTATTAAAGCTACTATTTTTATCAAACCATTATTATTCACAAACAAATCTTTATCCTCGCTATCATCATGAAAGTAGTCCTTATCGGAAAACTCATATTCTTCATTAATAGGTTGCTTTCTTGTCCACCTCTTACTTTTATTAGCATTAATTGAGTCAAGATGCCCCTATCTATTTGTATTTTTACTTTCTCTCCTAACACTTATACCCATTAAAACTTTTCCTCTAATTCCTCCAAAACCTTTTATTCTTCCCCTTATACTTCTCCTTTTAATACTTTTAGAAACTTGCTCCATTCTTTCTCTAACATCTACTTTATCAATATTGACATTTTCAAGATATGTTTTTATACCCACATTCTCCTCATAGACTCCACCATTGGTTTTAGTATTCATATCAACCACCTCTATATTCATACCTTCAACATTCATATTTCCACTATCATTCACATCCACTCCATTGAAATTCCCCCTTATAGGAGCCCTTATGTCCAAAGTCCCTCTCAACTCCTTTAGTAAAGCATGCCTATTTATTTCGTAAGTAAACGCTTTTGTTTAATGGTGATATCACAATCAAGGGAATACTAACGTCGTTGTCCTATATGTGTATTAATACCTCCTCAAGGTTTAAATAATTGTAATATTTGAAGATGCTAATCAAATCCTTGTCACTTACGATAGGTCTTCCATAATTAGCAATTAAATTAACAAAGTCGAACAATGAGAGAAATGCTTGTACACATCCGTTAACAAATTTAAGTAGCAATACTTTTGTGTATCTACTTCAAAGTATTTAACATTTTCTAAATCTATATCAAGATCCATCTTCATAATATGGTATCTCATATGCATTATAGATTCATTAAGTTAGATAATTGAGATCAAATAAGACCTATTACGGGAAAAAAAAAACAAATTTACAAACCCCTAATTTTGCAAACCCTAGTTATACAAATAATCAAAATTACAATAAAATAAATTAGAAATTTAACACATTCTATCGATATTAACATACTACATAAAACCCCATTTAAGTTTTTGAAACTAATTCCCTAAAACATATGAAAAACCCTAACCAACGAGCTCCTATTAAACGATCTAAAACTAATAAAGGGAAGTTCAAACTAATTTTAACAAGTCAATTAGAGTTTTAATTTTGCAATTGAAAAAGACATATGTTACTGTAAACTGAGTAAGAACCACTTAGAGACAAAAAAACAAAAAGATCAAGAGAAAAAGTGAGAGAAAGCATCATAATTCTACAAGTTGAGGACAAGGACAAAAAGAGATATGAAGATTAAACTTATCTAAGAACAAATAAGATGGACAAAACACAATGATTCACATGGTGTAAGAGCATCATCTTTGCAACCAAAACAACAAAAGGAGAGAGAAAAAGTGAATTTGTTTTATTTTCATCACGAGCTTATATATTTAATTAGTATTTTAGATATTACTAGATTTTAACTCGCTCTTCGCTACGGGATGGGTGCAAATTTTTTTTTTAACAATCTAAAACTTAGTTTAACTGTTTAAGGTGAGACTAAATCAACTATTAAATTGTTATCCTTAGTTTTTTATTCTAATGGAAACCGAAAAAAAGCTATTCTAATATTTGTTGCATAAAATTTAATAGCAATTAGTATAGGATGGAAAAAAGAGAGAATGATTTCGGGTTGTGGCTTGTAGTTGCTTATATTGCTTCCCCCTCTCTTCTTTAATGGTGACTTTTTGTTGGCCAATGCTTCTGAAAATAACTCAACTTCCAATTCTTGTGACCACCTCTGAAGAGGCCTCCTCTTTATTTCTCTCTCCCATTTCCAACCCCAAGCATCAGCTATTAAATACGTGCCTTCCACATCAAAAACTTTCTTGTTCCTCATCTTCTTGAAAGCCTCACAAATATCTTCAGAAAAGCGGTTGTCATCATCAGCATCCTATCATGTGAAATAATAAATATTTATTCTTTTTATGTATACACTAATTTGACCTTTAACTGTACATAAAACCTATCAAGCAAAATGTTTTGATCAAGTCCATACATTTCTATTGACAAGAAATCTTACGCAAAAGGAATGCTTGACATCAATCCCCATAGAAAGCACTAACCCAAGAGATATTTTTTTTATAAAAAGAGAACTTTCAAAAGCCATAAGACAATTAACTTGATAAAGCTGCATAAAATGAAAAGAAAGAAAAATGAAATAAAAACGCGGCTCATGATGACGGATTCTCACATCGCTACAGCGAGTCGAACAGCTCCTCTTGTTGATTTTTTTGACATTCTAATAGTTTGATCAAATCTTTCAACATTTGGACTCCAGTCATTTGAAGAGGCTTATAGCCTCAGCTTCTTTGGCCTTGCCCATTCTGTCCTCATCTTGACTCTCGGTTTGTTCCACTTCTACTTCAACTTCCCCCTCTTCGTCAGCCTCTTCATCTTCGACCTCTTTTGTAGCATCTTCTACAACATCATCGTCGTCCTCCTCATCCAACTCCTGTGAAAGTTCTGATGTATCCATGTCCACTGGTTTAACATGATCTCCATCAAAACCATCTCCAAGAAATCGACACTTAATTTATTTACCTCTTCATGAACCTGCAGAAAAATTACATCCAGCACCCTAACTCAAATCCTTTACCTCTAAAATTTAAGCTATAAAATTTACGTTTGCAGTATTCAATGTCTGCCTATAAAACATCAAAGACAGAGACCTCAAACCTTTCCTCTAATCTGCCAAGCAAAAGGAAACAAATTTGATCCGTTAGAAAAAAAAAAAAAGAATTCCATTACAAAAAAAAAAAAAGAAGTAAATTCCAACACCTTAGAACCGTCAAGAAAAGATTTGTTCACTGAAAAATGGAGGTCGCAGCCCCTCCAGAGACCACTCTATTTGCTCCTTTTATGTCTGAATCAACCAACATAAAACAGGAGGAAGCAAATCCCATAGCTTCTTTTCCATGGACACAACCTTGCATTGCCAGTTTCCTAGAAATAAAGAGATCAACATGGAAGCACACAACATATTCCAACAGAAGTAGTGATCACAGCCCAAAACTCCACTGCTACAGGACAGTGAATAAACAAATGGCTAAGATTTTCCTCCTTTTTTGCACCCAACAAACCAAATTCAACTGAGCTCAACCAAAGTATCTAGCATCAAAATCAAGTTTAAGAAAGCACGAAAAGTAAAAAAAGCCATCAATGTGTCTAAATATAAATTGATGAATGCACAAACCTGTAATTCTTATCGTTACATCTGAAAGATCAAGAATTACAAGCGAATAGATTTCCCAAAAATTCATAAATATGTCATTTTAGTTTTTTCTCTCCATAATAAGACAAGGAACCTCCAAAAACTTCACATAAAACTCAATGTTGGGAAATAACACACAACAAAAAGAGTAGTTGTTTGACATGATTTACACAAGAATTTTTTTGTACCATGAATATGGCATGGATTTTGAGCTCTGGAGCAGCAACTTTTCCATGACTGATAAGGGCACCTGCATAGATAGTTCCATTTGTAAAAGGTTTAAAGAGTGGAAAAAATGTCAATTTTTTAGAGATACATGCACAGTAATAAAAGGCAAGTGATAATCATGATAAATACATACTTCTCTAACACATATGCACACTGGAGTAGCATCTTCAAAGCTCATAAACCTATCCACTAAGCATGCAGAGTTTTAAATATCAGCACTGACAGTAACAAAGGCATTTGCTAGGTTGCCTTTCTATACAAACCAATTTATCAAACAACAAAAATCAGCTGTTCAGCACACCACTGGAATCTCTATATACCAAATTGAGTTGGTGAGTTTCCATTGGACTTAGAAAGGAAGTTAAACACACGCCTCTCTCCTTGAATAGCAATCTGCACAAACAAACATATAACCTAATAGTCAATACCCTAACACACAAAAAAAGAAGCGCAAAAAGGTAGGATTATCTCCAAACACTCTACTGTCGAGAACCTTGATTTAACCAGTTCACAGCTTCATAAGTGCTCGTTAAGGAGATTGAAGAGGGCAACTTCTTTTCAAAAGGCCCATTTTCACTCTGCATGTGTCCGAACAGATTCTCACCTCTCAACTCATGCCTCAAACAACTCCAAACCACACACAAACTGTTTGTGGCTGGGCAGCCCTTCATTCTTCTGGCAAAATCGTCCCTTACACGTTCAAAAGAAGGTAAAGAACATACTCAGTCACTTAAAATTTTCATTACATTTGGTTCTTATGAATAAATTCCACACTTGAATCTCATAAACAAAACAAACCTGTGCAGCACAATCAACTAAAACTCGTCTCAGCGTGGAATTGGTATTCCTTTCTTTCATCTCCACAATCCTGTTAAAAAAGTAGGATGATTAAAAAAAAAGACATTTTGGCTCAAGAATTTAACAAATTTTCAAATTTGTTAACCAAATAATTAAAGATTAATAAAAATGCAAAAGAAAACCTAACCAACTAAACCAAAGCTAATCCATTCAGACAAACGTAGTTCTTAAAAAAAAAAAGAAGCAAAATCGATGAATTCGATTCGCAAGAAACAGAGAGAAAATGTGAGAAAATACCTGAATGGCAAACATTGAATAGTAATTAAGAAAATAGCAACAACCCCATATCGGTTCTTTTGTAATACTAACCAAACAACATAAATAAGGAACACAAACAAACCCACTGGGAAACAAAAGATAAAGATGAAAGAAGGAAAGAAGGAAAGGAAATGATAAAAGACGAAAGGAAGAGAGGGAAGGAAAGAAGGAGAGAAAATAACGGCAGAGAGAGAGTGAAAGAGGAGAGAGGAGACGAAAGAAGGAGAGGGATATGTCAGAGAGAGAGCAAAATAGGAGAAGAAAGGAAGAAGGAGAGGAAATGAACAGCTGAGAGAGAGCAAAGGATAGATGGACGGCTGAAAGAGTGGAGGGGTTGAGTCTACAGTAACATTGAGTGTGTGTGAACAGTGATTGAACAGGAAAAACCATCACCTAATTTAATTTCTTTTGTAATCTATAAATTAGATAGAATCTTGAATAATTTTAATACAAGAAACTAAATAATTAGTTTCTGAACTAAGAGACATTGAATAATTCACACGAGATGAACACAAAAAGTCAACAAATTGGATTTTGCTTTTTGTGCACAACTGCAGCACATGGATCTCTATGATTTTTCTTCCACCACATGACCTCTCGTTCTAATTCATCCCAAATGGGATCGGATCACTGAATGACGTGTCGTTCACAGGGCGAGTCGCCACGTGTTAACGCGTAAACTTACCAAACAAGGACTGACGTTGACTTGCAAGCTACAACAAATACAGAGTACGGATTTAAACCGACGGCAACGTCTACCAATATCTGTCCGTTATTGAAAAACGGATGCACACAGCACCTAACCACCTCTCCAGTAGTCGTCACGCTTGTTTTCAAGTCCAATTTCACCATTTTTTTTTTAATAAAAAACCCTAGATCGATCTTCCCCTCCCTTCTCCTCTCTTTCTGCCATGGCAGCTGTTGCATCCGCTAGTGGAGGTGAGAGGTTTGAGACGTCGCCGGCGATGGATCTTCCCTCTTCCAAATCAGCAATAGACGCCGCGTCTGAATCATCTTCCTCTTCTTTCGCTGCCGAGACGCCTGATCTCAACGATCACTCAAATACTTCTCCTAGTCCTAACCGTGAAGTCGATTCTCAGGTATTCCTCCTTCAATTTTGCACTTGTACTAGTTATTGATCAAGCGGCTCTGTTTGCATGGATTTTACTGTTTACTGTATTTTTTACAGTCACCGGCAGCAGCGAGGAGTGAAGAGTATAGACAACTGTTTCGTCTTCCGACGGAGGAAGTAAGTCACTCCATGCTATGGATGATCATATGTTTTACATGTCTTTTTTCCTCTTATATATAATGATTCCTTAGATGAAAATTAGAGAATTAAGAACTCAGCTGCTAGCTATTAGGAGTTTTTTGTGCCAAATTCCCATCTGTTTTTAGCTATTCGTAGCAGATTAAATTATATTTTTGCTAAATTGGTGGTTGATTTGAGAATTTTTCTCAAGACGAAAATCTGTTAATTCCATGTGAGTTGGGACTTGGGGTCCGATAACTTGTAAGATTTCGGAAATTCTCTCAATTCTCTTCATTTGGGATCTAAGAAGGTTTCGAGGTTCATAATATGCCAAAAAAATTGCTTTTTTATCCTCTTATGGCGACAGCTGGGCCCTGTCTACAGGGATTAGTCCTAGCTTTAATTTAATAGGATTTTGAAGCTTACAAATGTATCAAATAGAACATAAAATTGATGAAAGTGCTGTGGAATGTGCCAAGAAGCTGATGAAAAGTAATCTGCTGAGTGTCATTTTCAACCTGTTGGACATCATGTAGTATGGGACAGTTCAAAATGCTTAGTTTATCTTGCATGTAATTGTTCTTAAGCATGTGTGTGCATGCTTGTACTCTGAATTTATTATATCTCGTGAGAAATATTCTGGAATGGTTCTTATTGCTCAAACTTTTGATATAGCCCCCTCTCTTTCACTGATACACAGCAGAAGATAGCTTAAGAGTTCTAAAGGACCTTTGTTTTATTTGAAGTTCTATCTAAAATTTTTGCCTTTCATGTCTTCCCAATAGGTCCTTGTACAAGACTTTAATTGTGCATACCAGGAGAGTATTCTTCTTCAGGTAATCTTGATGCTGACCTTTATTATGTACTTGAAGATGCATGCATTACACAATAATTGCTATAGCATACTGCATCTCATCGTTTTGAGCTCGAATTTCATTTGTAAATGAAATCACAGATGAGTTATGTTATAATTTCTGTTTACATAAGTTTCTTTTTTTTTTTAACTTATTTGGAGGTAAGACTATATTTCCCTACAATATTCATGCATTGTTTACTGTTTACATGTTGCAGGGGCATATGTACCTCTTTGTACATTATATTTGCTTTTATTCCAACATTTTTGGATTTGAGACAAAGGTAATGTTTGAAAATCAGCTTTATTGTTGTTACTGTGGTCTATGTCTTTCATAGTTCTGTTTCTCAATCTTGACTGTTTCTTGACACATTTGGTGGGGTTTTATCCAGAAAATAATTCCTTTCCATGAAATTACGAGTGTAAAAAGAGCAAAGACAGCCGGGATCTTCCCTAATGCTATAGAAATTTTTGCTGGAGGAAAGAAGGTAGGGCTAGATGTGGAGCATTGCTCCTCCGATTATTTTTTGGCATTACTTGAAATAATTGCTCGGAATAGTGCTCTTTCACTTCTGAATTTCAGTGACAACTGCAATATCTGAATCCATTTATTATTCTGGCAGTACTTCTTTGCGTCATTCCTCTCTCGTGATGAAGCTTTGAAGCTTATCAGTGATGGATGGTTACAACATAGTAATGGTTTCAATTTGATAGCAGAACAACAGGTAATTTAAAGCATTGGATACTCATCGCATGAATTTTATTACTTCTTTGTGAACTATAAAATGGTGAAACTTTTGGCCTGTTTGTTTCATTGTTGCCATCTTATGTGCTGATTTTACCCCAGGATTCAATTTCTGTATCCAGTAGCCTAGATAATGGAGTTGCTGTAATTGAAAAGGTGAATAGCTTCAATCAAGTCAGTGAATTCGATTCCCCTGACAGGTATTTTCACAAGTCATACAGAGTTTATATGAGTTGTCTCTGATTCATGTCTTGGAGGATTGATCATAAATTGCATGCATGTATGTGAATATCAGGCAAAAGACTATTGCTCCTCCACCTGATTCTAAGGTTTCTCCATCTGTTGAGAATGACACTGTCTCGATAACACAGATACAAGTAGCAGATGAAGTGGAACAGGATGTTGAACGAGTCAGAAATACTGAGTCTTCATCTTCAACGTCGGGATGGAATGTGGAAAATTTGGACGCGCCTCAGAGTTAGTTATCTCTTGAGAATTATTCTAACTGTGGTTTTGTTTTCTATATAACGTGCAATGAAGGAGTTCATTTTCCAGTTAGTCATAATATTTTCTTAATATTCAAGATCGTAAGGCATATGGTTCTCCTCCTCCTTCTAGTTAAATCTAGTCTTTTAGTCATAGACTGGAAAGAAATGGCAAATTCTAAATTAAGCAATTAGAGCACTTGATATTAGATCTACTAGAGGAGTTATTTGGTAATTTGGGATTTGGCATGAAGAGGATTGAATCCTTTGGCTGTGGGTCATGGAGCTTGTTTCTACTCAAAAAATAATGCTGTGTTTGTGGGTATTTGTCATCAGCTAGATTTTGGGATGACGTTTGGTGTGGAGCCACAGTTTTTTTTTTTTTTTTTCCTTGTTGCACTCTGTTAATTGAACTGTCTCTCTGATATGCAGTACGTGAATCTTTTAAAGAAGTTGGAGAGACAAAGTTTCCGGTAGTGTTCATTTTCTTTTATTGATTTGTATTTTCAAAATTTGCTCACTTTTTTTTCAGTACTTGTAGAATTCAATAAATATTTCCACATTAAAGAGTTATTTAGTGATCTTCTTTTATTTTAAGGAATGCAGATAAAGGTAGAGGAGTTCTTTAATTTGTTCTTTTCAGATGACACTGCTAATTTTGTTGAATCTTTCCATAGTAGATGTGGAGATAAAGGTAATTTGCTTTGAATTCCTATGGAACCATACTAAACTAAAACATGCCCTAGTTTTTAGATGTGGTGAAGTTTTGATTATGTGATTTAAAGTCTTTGGTTGGCTAACTCTTGTGCTTTTCAGAATTCAGGTGCTCTTTATGGTACACAGATGAGAAATTTGGGCATGCCCGTGATGTGTTTTTTCAGCATCCTATAAAAATATATTTTGGTATGGAGATGCATGCTTGTTTATCTATTTGTTTACTATGGATCTATGATTGGTTTTTGTGGCGATTTTGGCAATGTTGTTGCTCTTTCTGCTCATTAATATTAGTTTTAAATTCTTGTGTTCTTACATAGGTGCAAAATTTGGAAGCTGCCAGGAAGTCCAGAAATTTCGAGTCTACAGAAACAGGTTCCTATAAGCTGTAATTTGTGAGACACTTTAGGTTTATTGTTATTTAATTGATTTGAAGATGACTTGGTGACAAGTTCAGTAAGAGGGAGTAATAATTCGCTATCCATCATCCTCTATTTCTTAGCACCAAAAGAAAAGGCCTGTACTTCTTAGATGAAAGGAAATTAAAAAGCCTTCACAGAAACAAAAGGAAGTTTTCTAGAGGATTTTTAAAGCAGTACATGGTGGGCACTGTAGTAGCATAAATTGCCCATGGTATTACTGGCATTACTGGACATGCCACTGTGGCAGTACTATATTTGGACATTTTTGTTATGATTAGCCTTGTTTTAAAGGCAAGTGTGAATTAGATTTTGATGGATCACAATGTCACACGCTGCCCCTGACTATTTCTAAAGAGTTGGATCTTTGAACCTATCCTTTTTGTGTCTCGTTTCTTTATTAATAAAGTGATTAGAGGCATTGGTGTATGCATTCAAGTATATGCTTAAATCGGGACCATACATGACTCAGTTAAACTTTCTTTACTAGTTTGGGTCCATTACTGTTCTGCTATGTTTAGAGCCAAAACTTTGCAAACTGTTTCGATGCAAAACCCCTTTTATCATCTGAATCCATGGTCTCTTTGGTCTCTAACCCCCTCTCTTCTTTTTTCCTACCACTTCAATCCAATCTGTCTTCTGTACTATGTCCACAAGTTTGTCTTCTACAAGGCCAAACTATTTCAGATAAGTCTCACTTGCATATGCTCATACGGTAAACTTTCTTGCAGTGCACTCATTTCTTACCCAGTCTTTACTTGAATCATTTTAGTTTTTCTAGGGATGTAAAATAAATGTGCTGCAAATTCATTGTGGAAATTACATATAAAGCTCCTGATTGCTACTGTTCTCAATGGAAGAGACTATATATGAATTAAATTTATGTAGCTGTTTATATGATCTTTTATTTACTTATGTAATTTCTTGCCATTGTTCTTCTTTTTTGGATGTGGGAGCATAAATGATTTGACCAATTGCTTGTGCTTCCTCATGATTTCACTTCTGTTTTTACCAGTCATCTGGTTATTGAGACATCACAAGAGATCAGTGACGTCCCTTTTGGAGATTGTTTTCGCGTTGAGGTACAAGCTGTTTCTCAGCCATTATTGACGCAATGGATAGAATGTTTTTATTTTACTTCTTTTCATATTTTTTAGTAGGATGCATACTGAGTTTTTAATAAATCGATTCTATAATGGCATCTTATATTGAATGCTTTTTTTTTTCCCTTCGAGGAATATTGAATGCGAATTAACTACCAGGAAGTCTGAAACTTGTGCCCTTGTATAGTAGGTGCAACTTTTGAGATCTGATTCTTTTCTTGGATTACATGAAGTTATTGAACTGTTTCAGGAGCTTGGGGATTGTCATGCTATTTCCTTTCAAGTTTATGCTCCATCATGGCTGCATTTTTTAAACACATGTATCAAATGGTTGTGGTTGGTCTTGGATAGATTCATCTTTTATTGGTGATCCTACTTATGTTTTTATTCTCCCGTTCTAACATTCTCTCTCACCATTCTCTGTTAGCTGTTTCCTTTCTTTCTGCCTGATTGGGAGTGAATTGCATTGGGTTTGTTAGACATGTAGGACATGTATAAGCAGCTGTGATTTTCAGACTTGGGTCACTAGTTTCCATCAAATGCATCATTCAGATTTTGGTAACAAACAATAAGAGAGGATACAACCGTTTTACTCCTGGCTTTGAAATTGACTTAGAAAAGAAGATGGAATAGTAGGGAATTCTTATTGCTTGAAGGAAAGATAATAAGTTGGATGATGTGTTACCTATTAAAAACCTTTGACAATGAATACTAGTTAATTGTCCACCCTTTCAAAGTGTAATTTCTACGTTATGTATGGCCGTGCCTAAGGACATATCGGTTGAAGTAGATTCTTCTTTTTGATCAATCAAAACCTCTTCCCAAACTGTACAAGCTTCTTCCAAATCAAACGACTTTCTAGGTGTAGATGATGATATCTATACAGATGGAAACAAAATCTTATTTATTTGTTTACAATTTAAATAATCTTTTAGAATTTACTGTCATCTAAGAAGTTTCTGGGTTTGACAAAATTTCATTTTGATTCGCTTTTTGGATTTAAGTTACTAGGATTTTCTGTGTCTTCTGTAGCACAAACTCTGTATTTTGGGGCACATTTATGGTTAATAAAACTGAGATTTGAGGATTTTTTTCGTTCTCCAATTTCCTATAAGGTTTTCCTCTCTTGTTTAATTTATTCTTTTTCTTCTATAGGGAATTCTTCAATTCTTTGTCTTCATTGGTACCCTTGTACTACACCACCTTGACCCACAAATCAACTAGAAGGTCTAGGAGAAGTACCTACTATGTAAGAAAAAGGTGATTGGAGGGAGATTGTAGGAGAGAGAGAGAGAAAATGGAAGGAATTTGGAAAGAGAGTGGAAAAAGGGAGAAAAAACTTAACGGAATGGTCTTGTTCCTCGGGATTCAATCGATAAGTTCTAACAACAGATCGACGGAGAGGAGATAATAAAGAAAAAAATGAGGAATAGTTCATGAAATAAGAAATGAAATGTGTGGATAGCGATCGCTGTAGTGATTATGTAACAATTTGTCAACATACACATGTAAAAAAAATTAAGTGTATAAAAGAATGGATACTTTTAAATGCCAGTGGCAGCAAATATTCGAAATAGCTAATGGCATGAACTTTAATCTGGTTTAAGCCTGTGATCTCTACTATTTAGACCTACCCTGATGCGCCTCTTCTTTTCATGGGTATAATGTCAGGGACTATGGGATGTGACTAGAGATGGTGATGGATCAAATGAAGGCTGCATTTTGCGGATATATGTAGATGTTGTATTCAGCAAGAAAACTATTTTTAAAGGTTTGCATTTGCCATCACATATGTACAACTTGCTTCCATGCTTCCTGTTGCATTATTTTTTTTCCATAATCTATCTTGATTAAACCATCATGTTTTTAATTTTAATTTTTATTTCTTTTCTTTTTTTTTTTTTTTGGTATACTTTGGGCGAAAACCTGAGAGTAAAACCAACTAGCTTAAAAAAACTCTGGTGGTAAAAAAAAACATACAGAGGTGACATAAACCAGAGGGTGGGGATCATTGAAATGCACTGTGCTTTGGCTTTGTGAAATGCCCTTGACCAATTTGCAGACTAAATGCATCTCTGAAGCTGTGGCAAATCCTGACCAACCAACTGTTCCCCAAACAGGATTCACTAACAATGATCTTTATCCTCATCACTTGATCATCAAGTGACACCTTTGACATTATTTTATGCAAATATTTTGCATAAAATATTATATATTGGGATTGCTTCTGCTGCCACAGAAATATATAATTTTCGTCATGGAAGTGCTGCCAAATATGACTTGAACTTAATCTACTTGGAATATTGAGTTTCTTAGATTGAAAAAGTATGAACTTGGGAGGTGCCATGAAAATCAAGAAATACAAGTCTGAATGGACAGGATTTTTATTAAAAATAAAAATTGACCAGACATGGTTAGCATATGGGCATATGGCAGAATGCTCACTTATCTTTAGAGTAAATTATAAATTAGTCTTTCTATTTTCGAGAAACGAACTAATTAGTCCTTGTTTTTAAAACTAATTATCTAATCCCTTGACTAGTGTTGACCACGCTTAATTTAATATTATTTTATTTCAAAAAATGTTATCTTTTCTCATCAATCCTTTCATATTTTTTACTTATATTTTATTTCTATTTCTTTAAACGAAAAATCAACATTAATTGAAAAAATGATTAAGTTACAAGAAAATTTAAAAATATAGGGACTAAATAATTAGTTTTTGAAACAAGGGAAGCTAATTAATCTGTTTCTCTAAGCTAGACGGACTAATTGATAACTTGCTCTTTCTCGTTAATGATCTTTCTTCCTTTTGATGCAAAATAGAAATAAATTGAACTTCAAGTCCTGATATGGTTTCCCTCCATAATTGCTTGAAATCAAGTCACGGGAGTCAGGTTATGCTCCCAAACTTTATGGCATGCACTTTTATTCAACTCTATAATCTACATTTTCATAGATGCTTTTATTATTGCGGAAACAGCTTTGCTATACATGTTTTCATAAAAAACGTGTACTGGATTTCGTGCCTAATGCCTCGCAATGTCACAGGGAAGATAGTGCAGTCTACTGTGGAAGAATGTCGAGAAGCTTATGCAATATGGATAAATATGGTAATATATCGATCCTTTTTGGGCTTAAGTTATCAAATCAATGGTGTATATTAGATGGAATGTTTATTGACTGTGTATGTTAACTAATTTTTAGGCACATGAATTGTTGAAGCAGAAGAACCTTGAAAATCAAGAAGGTTAATCATCATAAGAAACAAAGCCAGCTCCTTCTCTGCATGATGTGCTCTGCTTTGTGTGGCATCGCAGAAAATTGAATTACTAACTTCAGTTGATCATTTCCTATTTTCTTAAAGCCGAGGCAGGGTCGACAGTCTGCAAGATTCAGGAGGGAGAAGTTCATTCTGAAAGAGAAGTGAAGACTGGAGAAGCTTCAGAAAGCTCTTACAAGCCAAGTGGCCATACAAGGATGCAGCACATGTCTGGTTCTATGGCTGTTGGTCAACGGGCTGATGATCTTTTGCAGAGAAATTTCACAAATGATACATCCATTGCATCTTCATTAGGAGAATATGCAACAAAACTCTCTTCGTTTTTCAAAAGCCAGAGCCAAATTGCCCTAGTCTTAGTTATTGCATTTGCTGTGATCATCCTGATGCAGGTATGAAAATTCCCCAACATTTTTTCTGGTGAATGATGCATAATTCAATCAAGTTGTTTTGCTCAGTGAACTCCAACACTGGCATGATGTTTTAATTTTGTGGCTTTAATGTGCAGTCTTTGGTTTTTCATGCTTCTTGTGCATGTTAGATTGTTGTCACCATGTTTTTGTAACCTCTGCTTTTGTTTGTGGTGGGAAATGATGCCATGGAATGACTACTGGATTAGGAATTTGAATCTATTTGGTTTTTCTTATCTTTTTCTGTCTCCATTTGCCTTGAGTCATTGGAATCCTTACATCAGGTAAAGAATAAAGGACCTTGGTTTGTTGGAAAGAACCCAATAATAAATAAAAATAAAGCTCAATTAACTGAAAAAATATCTTAGTTGAGGTTACAAAATGGCCAATAAAGGTGCTTTTTTATGATATTTGGTTAACCATAAACATTAGGTTTAGTTGCAACATAACCCCACAAAATTTAGCATTGCTCAACGGGATCCTTCTATAATATTTCATCCAAAAGTTCATGTTTTTTGAGTACATGTGCTTAAGTGCCTGGGCCCTATGTGTTGCTATGCATTTGCAACTGCAACTTTATATATTGATTTGTTCCTTTACTTTGTTGTTATTTTTATCCACTTTGTTTTAGATCCCTGGTGCCATTGGTTATTCTAGTGGCTAGAGTATAACATTGGCCTTTTCATTTGTTCAGTGCCATTGCCATCTGGATCAAATAGTTACCATATTGGCATTAACCTCCTACGCTTTCACCTTCTTTTTGGCCTATTTTAACTGCAGGTGAGCATCCTCGTGCTACTGAATAGACCACAAACTGTCCATCTGGCTTCTCCAGAATACTACGTGAGTAGTATGAGAGCTGGGGCTGGTGAAAAATCAGCTGAAGCTGCCGCTTGGTTGGAGAGGCGGATGCACCACCTTAAAGATGAGATGTTTATGGTTGAGGCGAAGCTAGAGAGGTTGCACCAGGAGCACTTATGGTTGAAATCACAGTTGAAAGACCTTGAAAATTTGAAAAACAATAACCTAAAATTTTAAACTGGAAAAGAAAGTAATTTTTCTTTCTGGTGCTCTGGTTTTCTCTTTTAGACGTATAGCAAAAAAATCTAGTTGATTGATCTCAGAACTTCAGTTTCATCATTTACGTTAGTCGCTGCCTTTAAGGGGAAAGCTGCATACTGATCTGGGCCGAAGGCCTTTTGATAGATGTGTTGCTGCTTGTGAACAAGAAATTTATATGATGCCTCGGAGAAGCTTTCATACTTTAATCTAATGGTCTTTCAATTATTGTCCAGCCATTGTCTGGTTGGAGTAAATAGAGGGGGTGGAAACCTCGTTTCATTCAAATGTTTGGAGCTTCAGTTTTGGAAAATAACCTGAGTCCCATGCCTCGGAGAAACCATCGAATTCCCTTTTTCCCTTGAAGCTTTAATGCCGTGAAGCAGTTATTTCGGCCAAGTTGAGAGCTGGGCTGGCACGCAACTACTGGGTTGCAGAATGCTGAATGGGAAAGGAAGTAATAGCTAGAGCCTAGAAAGGAATAAAGTAATCACCCCAGCTAGCCTGTTGAATTTGTAGCTGCAACTACCTGCCAGGCCTTGTATTTTCTGGGCTGAGAAGTACATGTTGCTTTTCTGTCCGACCGTAATGTTATTGTGTGGGTGTGGCCATGGATGTGTGCTTTTGTTGCCTGTGGTTATAATGTGATTAAGTGCTACCAATGATCATTTCCGATCATTCATCAAAATTGCTATGTAAGTTTAGTTTCCCATACAGCAGCCTATTTCAGCTGGAAGCTAGGCTAGCTGTCATTTTCACGAGTTGTTTGCTATCATCTACAGTTCAAAGCATGAAAAACACATTTTTCCATAGCTAGTGTTGACTTTTTGTCTTCCTTTTTTGTTTTTTTACAACAGTAAAGAGTCAACTAGTATATGATCGAGGTGTAGATAAACGTTTAAAAGCCTAAAATGGTCTTTTTGTTTTTATACAATTTTGACAAGTTTCATAAGCATCAAAATTTCTCAAATGGGCCCCCCACAGTCTTTTGAACTTACTGATATTCGAAAGACTAGGTATATCAGTCGGTGCTGAATTTTTTTCGGATTTACTTCATTGTCTGCATTCTGCTATGAAGATTCTTGACAATGATTTGGAGGAGTGAAAATAATAACGGGACAATGGGTGAGAAAAAGGATGCAGTTCACTCTGCATCTTTATGGCCAGAAACTGAACCCCTATTGAGGCATGTTCCACGTGGATTTTATTATTCTGTGTTGTTACGAGTTGAGTTCTAAATGCAAGATCAAAGAGATGGACCGTTTTCTAATATTCAGTTTGAGAGAGAACTTTGCACTTTTTGATACGGTCCGGCCTTTTCTTGAGAGAGGTCCATGCCCATGGCACTCTACCACTTACCGTCCAAAGTCCAAACCGCTCAACGGTACTGCTATGGACAGGCTAAAAGTCAAACATGATCCCTCTAGTTTTTGTATTTGGTCGAACGAAATCCTATACTTACTTTGATTTGGATCAAATTTATCCAAATTAAAGGTATTTTTAGTCCCTTCTCTGATTTCGTTATTAATTAAATGATCATAAGAACGTCATGTATTATGATGTGATTGAATCGAGGTTTTAAAGTGCTTTTAATTAAAAGTACAGGGAATGATTTGATCCAATTTAAATATATGCATTTATTTTGAACATGGAAATGCTAGGATTGGTAACATTAACACACTTTGTTTTTTTGTTCGCCAAGCAAGAATATCATCATGTGAAATGTTTCTTGTTTTCAATGATATTTGATTTAGATTTATTAATGGTGACATGAAGTTAGTTGTTACTTAATATTTCATTTCTTTTTAACATAAATTAACAAAAAAAATTAAAATAAAATGATGAATTACTATTTACTACACTATTTGAAACATTGTTATTACTCATTCTTGTTATTCATCAAGACTTAGATGCATTATTTCTTTCATTATATAATGGTATTTTTATAGTTTTTAAACATTTTAAAGGCATTTATTATGAAAGCTTCCGTAATACTATACTTTAGTCCTTATTTTTTACATATTACTTTTTTAATCCATAAATATTTTTTGTTTCAATTTGCTCTCACTTTTTTGTTTCATTTTGATCGGGTCCTTTTTTTTTCTCTCTCTTTTTTTTTAATTAAAAAAATTTAAAGCAAAAAAAATTTAGAAAAATTAAGTTTTTAGCTAAAAATTCTTTGATTTTGACATTTTTTATACTATTAAAAAAACTTTAGTTTGTGAAAAGAGATAAATAAATAATGTTTCAAAAATTTAGGAAAAATATAAAGAATAATCAATCAAATCTAAAATTTTGATTAAAAAATTATAAATTAAATGAATTTTTGTTCAATTTTGATTTGATATAATTTGGTATATGCACAATATAACACGGAATATCAAACTAAATAATTTTTTAAAAATAATTATATATGTTCTATTCGATTCGCCATGTAGTATAAATAAAAAAACTAATATAATCTTACAATACAATATCAATAGTTGGCAGTTAATGGATGGAGATGTGTTTTTCTACAATACGATTAGAGTTGAACTAGTCACTACTACAAAATTAAAACTACTTTATCATAATGATAATTCGAACTCGTGAAATTTAACAAATGCAGGGGACATTTTTTTTTTTAATTTGATAAGGTTAAATTGTGTATATGATCAAGTGAATTTGAATTTTTACTAATTGAACACTTTTTCAGAAATAGGTAAGGGTGGTCTAATTATTATACATAGTGAATGCTAGTCGTTTTCTAAGAATTAGACCACCGACTGACTGTTAATTTTGCATGGTCGCTGTTTTGACTATCTATATCTTGAGTGTGATACGAGTTCGAGAGTTTGAAAATTTTCATGGTATCGCTACCACATGGATCAAAGATCGATCAACAGTTTCAGCAAGATATAGCGGAAAGTATTTGTCTTGCAATCGCAATGATAGATGGAGAGAGGTCAATAGGTACGTGTTGAATGGTGCGACTTCCACTATCCCATAAAAGTTGGAATAACATATCCATGGCATGCTAGCACACTTTTGTTATACTAGATGGCGTTTTCCACGTTAGCTTTTCGCAAGTACTATGCATCCTTGATGGTCGGAGGGGTGACTTGTCTCTAATATTACAACATCACTATGCACACAAATTAAAGGATCAAAATAGCTGCATTAGAAGCAATTATCAAACGTTTGGTGGATTAGCAAGATTAAGATTCTCTGTCTCTCTATTTATTATTTTGTTCTTTCAAAAACATGATCCATTGTGGTCGATAAAAATAAATGAATTGATTGACTCTAGATCAAATGAATATAAAAAAATAAATAACTATTATTTTATGCGTATAAGAAGATTGTAATCATGTGTCTTATATTTTGTATATATGTATGAAAAATCTTAATCGTTTAGTTGATTGTTTAGTTTAAACTTGATATATATATATGTTATTAGATTCAAATCTTATATGATTTAACCCCAACTTTGTGATTGAAAGCATCAAGATAAAATGCAAAAAAGTGATTGAAGTAACAGAAGTTCTAAAATCATAGACAATCATATCTTTGAGTGTTGCCACACATGCAATTGCATTTGAGGATACTGATTTCCATTTACTTCATTTACATGGGATACAAAAAATGGTGTCAAATCTATGTTTCTACAAAAATAAAAATCCAAACTCCTCTTTTGGAGAACGCTAAGATATTTAGTAGCCAGCCGTTATGTACGATTTCTTTCTTTACAATCTCATCATCTCATCTGCTACTTGTCTCTCCATCTCACCTACATCCAAGCTTCTCGACGTGATGCTTATTTAGAAACTTCTTTGCCGTTGCTCTAAAAGGACACGTGGAGCTCACAAACCCACTAACCAAATGTAAATAAGTGCTTAGCTCATGACACGTAACAGCATCCCTTCTGCCGAGGTAGGGTGATTTCTTACTGCTCAATCTCAGCTCTCGTCCCAAATCAGCGTATACCCACTGCGTGTCCTCCACGAGCTTCCGGAACCAGCATGGAAATCCTGCCACGTGGACAGCCTTTTTGCTCGCCGTGTCATTGTTGTCAATGACAAATCCAGGCACTTTTGTGATGAGATCATCAGAGTTTACTATGCGTAGTATCCGAGTCCCACTTTTCTCCAGCTGGCACCTAAAACTTCTATTCCCTACACGCGGTCCACCAAAGGAAATCACCGTCACCATCGGTGCATTTTCAAAGGTAGAGTTTATATCATATGCAGTTAAAGTAGCGAGAGCGGCACCCAGGCTGTGACCGGTGATGGTGAAACTGAGTGGCTCGTCACCGTACATTTCAAAGACTCTGGCAATTTCCTCCCTCACCATGTCTTGCAAGCTTGGACACGTGGCAGTCTGAGAAGTATACAGGCTCAAAAATCCACTCTCCACCATGGGCCCATTACAACTAGGACCCACATGATTACAATTTTTGCCAGGTAAGCAGGTTAAGGAGGCGCGTAGATTTTCAACCCACTCCAAGCAAGTAGCAGTCCCTCTGTAGGCAATCACCACGTCGCGGCGGCCTAACCGAGCAATCTCCTCTTTATCTTGACAGACTGCCACGTAACCAATCCAGCTGGACTGAGTGGACACCCAACTCGGAGCCTTGTCGATCCAACGTGGCAACTGGACCCCAGAAGTTGCGCGCAAATGCTTTGTCGTTCGATAACCGGTCTCTCCAATTCCAGACCGAGCCAAGAGTGAGTTTCTTGGGAATTTGGAGGCGGCATAAGTTGGTGAAGAAGGATCAAAGTCAAAAGAACGATATGCAGCTTCAACGAATAACCCATATCGTATAATCTCACTTCTCAAATTATCATCAAGAGGGTCAAGCAATCCCTCCCAATTATTGACCCCTTGATACTCCATCCATTTCTTCCCAAGCTTGGTTGATGAGTTAGTAATGAAAGTACTGCAATGCTCTTTTAGTTTGTGCTTAAGAGAAGGTAATGATACTTGGGAATATGAGTGAGTGGTGTTGGAGGGAGTGAGGTTAAAGTGTTTTGAAGCAGAAGCTAAAGCGTTGCATGATGGCCTAGCTGATACAACAGCGCCAAGCCTCATTCTTGTTAATGAATTTTGGAAGGTTATTGTTCTTCTAGATGGAAGAAGGTCTTACGTAGCTTCTGTTTGTTTGGCAAGACTACAAAATTGGGCATTTATAGGCAAACCAGGGAGAGAGGGAGAGAGAAAAGTGGACGGCGGTGCATGCATAACTGTAAAAGAAAAGAGGAAAAAATAAAAAAGGAGTGAGAGGGGAGGTAACTGGAACCTAGCTTTGGTGACGTAGATTTGAGAAAAGTAGCAGTAGTAGTACGATCTGGGTGTGGGGACGATTAATCGGATTGGGATAACAGGAAAAACGGCTGTGGGTCCTACCAATAATTTGATATCTGTTTTTCTTTTAAACTTACTTTCTCCGTACTATATTTATTAGCTTTTATGGGTTGCAAAATATCAATTTTGATCGATTTGTTTATACTCATTTTTTCTATAAAAAAAATTATCTCTCTTCTAATTATATGCATCTCAAAATATATGTATTGTCAAACTTTAAATAATATATATTTTTTAAAAATACTTTTAATTGATGAATAAAATCAATTTTTTCTTTATTTTTTTCACTAACAAAACATCAATATTCTTTATACTTTTTTCTTATACATACAAATACCCTTAACATAAAAATTTTAAAAAATTTTCTTATTAGATGAAAAATATTTATTTTTATAAGAATTTTATTGCATGACGAGATTTTAGGAGAACAATTTTTTTATTAATATTTTATTTTTTCATAATTATTTTAAATTTGATTGTTAATTGACTTAACGATTTTTTTTTTTGATTTAGCATCTTAATATTGGATAATTTTTTTCTAGAATTAATATTAGTTCCATGAAATACTTTATTAAATTTGATAAATAATATATATATATTTAAAAAATATGAACAAAAAATATTGATATGGTATAACAATTAATAATTTTTTTAAAATGTTTGAAGAAGTAAAAAAATCAAAGAAGACTATCACTTTGCTGTAAAAATGAGTATGTTTTAATGATTTCAAATTAAAAAAAGAAAATTATATTATTTACAACTCTTTTTTTTTGTTAGATTTTTATTCCTTTCCTCTCAAATAGTAAACACTTTGTGTAATGTATATTTCTAAAATATTCTTGATTAAAGTCTATTTTGTGAGATTGTTCAAATACAATTTAAAACAAAAATAGCATTTTAGAAAAGCATAAACAAAAATGCTAATATGAAATAATAATTAATAATCTTTTTAATTTATGTGAAACATAAAAAATGACATTCCTTTGAAATGAAAAAAAATTATTCAATAGAATAAAATTTGTAAACCAATAAAACTAGAACATAAAGAGTAAATGATGGAATCAGCTCGTTGAGACTTCATCTTAATTATGAATTAAAAATATATTATTTGCATTAAATTCTCAATAGATTCGAAAAATTTTATATTTGTTTTATTAGATTGGATTGAATTTTGGTTTCTATACACGAATACAATCTTTTACTCATGATCATGAGGGTTAGGGTTAATAAAAAACTTTAAAATATTCAAGAAGTAATTAATAATTGTTATTTTATAAAATTTGACTAGAGAGATGAATATAAACAATATATATATATATATATATATATATATATATTCACATTCATTAAAAATCTTAAAAATATTGGTTCAAATTTTTTTTTTAATCTTTTCTATTGAGTAAGTATTATTAGTTTTTTAAAAAATATTATAAATTTTTTATGAGGTGAACCTCTAATTTTAATTTGTTGATGATGATTGGATACGTTGGAAAAAAAAAAGTTAAATTTAAGAATTCGAGATCTTGATTCGAACCTCAACATAAAAAGACAAAAGGCTTTGTCATTCCGACCAACAAAAGGACGCGTGCAGGCACGTGTTTTTCACAGACCATTTCTGTGCTCTGTTCAACACTTCAAACTTCTAAGCACCAGTCCTACTCCTGCCTCGGCTTCCCTTGAATTTGTGTTGTCAAAATAACACAAATTTTATGGAGCTAAATACTCCGATTTGTACGTGGGATTACCTACCTTCGCCCATGCTCGACAAATCCACAAAGTCACAAGCATTTTTTTTTTAAAGAATTATGGTATTCTTTGATTGGGTTTTGCATAACAAAAAAAATTTTCTTCTTTATTGGATCTCACACATGCATGCACAGAGACGAATCCAGACTTTCATGTGCAATAATGTAAAAAAATTATTTTAGAGTGGTCATTTCATTAAAACTTATTTCAAAATTTTCAAAGAACAAGAAGGATTTTGAATTTTTTCCCAAATTCGGAGGCCAGGCCCCCCAAGCTCCTTGCGAATCGTCACTCGCATGCATCAACACTTGATTTGATATATTTACGATAAATCCAATTTTTTTTTTTGTTATAGTCTTCAATTAAATTTGATAATAAGAGTTGGTAACGTAGGAACAAATTTTTATGACTTTATGGGATTTCTTATAGAACACTCCTAATCAATCAATGCAAACTACCTAACATTCCATCTTCCAAAAAAGTTTTTTCTACAAGTGATGACGAATATGGATTAAAACCGTGGCACAGTTAATTAGTTATTCTACTGTCGAGGTGATGGATGCATTTATGTTGGAATACTTCTCGCGGCATATGGAAGAATATTTCCTTATCATACTGTAGTTTTTTTTTTTTTAAATCCAAGACAATCTGTAATCATATACTTTTCTCCTTTTCGTAGTATTATTTATTTTCTCATACACACATATATATATATACTCACACGGATATTTGATGACTTACACTATTTCGGAGTATACTTTCCACGCTCACTTTATTTTCTCCGTTTATTAGTTGGAACTAGTTGCCCTAAAAAAATTTACCAGCTAATTAAATTATATGTGATCCGTCATTAAAATTTTCATTTTCATTGTTTTAACTTTCAAAAAAAATTATAAGTGTGTGTTTGATAATACATTATGTATATTTTGCCTGAATTCATTATTTGCATCATGTATTAAAAAAATCATTAAATAAGTCCATGTATTTTCAATTTAGTCAACTAAACATATATATTTTTTAATTTCAATCATTTGAATATAATTTTCTAAAATTGATAATTTTTATACATTAAAATTAAATAAAAATATAATATACACTTGCATAAAGGATTCAACTCTATACAATCATGTTGTTTTTTATTTGACTTTAAAAAAACAAAAATTATCGATTTTGTGAAACCTTATTTTAATTGACTAAATAGAAAATACATATATTTAATTAATCAAATTAAAAATTTAAGAACTTTTATGATAAATTTATGAAAACACAGAATTTAAATAGCGGATTAGCCAATTATTGTTAGAACAAAAATATTTGGATTGTTTTTTGGGATGTCAAATCATATAAAACAATGAGAAAAAACAAATATCAATTTAATGTTTTTTTCAATTAAAATATATTTTAAAAAATGCTTTCAAATACATTACCGAATGCAACCTAATAATTAACAACATTTCTACCATTGTATTTGATTTTATTTAAAAAATTTCTATTACGAGCTTTTCATGTATAAGTTAAAAAATAAATAAAAATCATTATTATAAATAAGTTTTATTGTTAAAAAATAATATAAATTATATTATAAAATCTCACGTAATAATTTAAATTTTTTAATAAAATAGTTATTGAATTTGATATCAAAAATTTGTTAATAAAATGATCATGATTTCGAACATAAGAAGATTTCTTGTGTGATTTCTTTGACAAAGAGAGGGTGGAAAGGAAAAGGAAAGCGTTAAAAATGAAATCGATAAGATGAGTGAAGATCCGCTCTTATCAAACCATACTTCGTACCGCCAAATGATGACCCCATGACTTTACACGTTCAATGATTGGATAACCATCAATAAATAACTTATGTTAAACACAAAAAAAAGTATGGTTTATGCGAATAAGTCCACCCACGTTCAATCCATAATCCGAGCTTTCTAATGTGCTATTATTCATACCTGGCTGCTGATTCCTCCTTTGTATATCCCTTCCCACAGACGACTCATACAGACTCCATATCCTTGTGACCGATCTTGCTTAGAATTTCCCTTTTATTCAATAAGAATATTATTGTTTTGCATAAAATATTCTATAAGCAATTACACAAATATGGAGAATGGTTTCGGATGTTCTATGAGCAATGAAGGATCCCTCTTTTGTTCATCCCGTTGTGAACAAAACCAATCTGTTCTATCCTCTAGGATTGGTTTAGTTAGAACTGATTTTATTTTGGTAGAGTTAACTAACTTTACCTCCGGCCATATTATGTCTTGGACGTCCCTCTATTGAGGCTAAAGAGCACGGTTTTTCAGCACTTCAAGTCCCTGTTGTTCAGAGATTGTCTTGCAAAGAAATAACAAGCAAATGGTCAAAAAGTGATCTATTATGACGTGACGTATATTCTCATATGGTCAGAAATTCAAAATTAATGAGGAGTTATGTAGGACGGAGTGATGGACGGTAGCGCCAAATTCAAATGTAAGGGTATCCATTGTTTTTTTTCAAACCATGAAGTTACATTTGAGTCCCTCCTCAAACTATGACACCTAGGTTCCCGAAAAAAGGAAAGCTCGCTTTCTGCTATTTTTACTTGGAGTTGCATTACCAATCATTCTATATTTTGTTTAACAATATTTGAGTATATGTTTTGTTCCGTAGCATTGCCAACTCTGTTTACTATTATTATATTGGTCTTGATTTCACTGTTTATACATTATAAAAAACTTAAAATAAAATCACGTCGGGCAAAACTTCAAGATCACTTTTCAATGTGATTAAAACGACGTGCTTTAATTCGAAGGTAATTTTTTTTTTTAATGTAAAACAATATTGTTTTTCCATAAATTTTAAGTGGGGTTTTAGAAATTGTTTCCGTTTTAGTCTTTCGAGCTATAGATTTATACGAAATAATCTATCAACTTCAATTGTATTACACCAAGTCCCTGGACATGCAGTGGGGAGAGAAAAGACAGAAGAAGAGGAGGTTCAAT